ACATTAGTAGTACAGTATCCATCATAAAGTACATATAATGTACATGTAACTGTATCTCAAGTGTAAATGATAGTTATATGTGTATGTATAGGTACATGTAATTGTACATGTATTGTAGTACATAGTGTACTGTGTGTATTACATGGATGTTGCTATGTTTGTTTAAAATAATTTGTTTTTTTCCTTAATTTTTGTAAGATCATTTTGTAAAGGATTCCAGGCACAGAAAGAAGAAAATTGGTACATTTTTACTATTAATATTGTTATTATCATTATTATTATTATCTTTGTTGTTTTTGTTGTTGTTGTTGTTATTATTATTATTATTATTATTATTATTATTATTATTATTAGGGGTCTACCAGTTCTTCAACAAGTTGTTCTTGATTTAAGAAGAATTGCTTTAAAAGTAAAAACAATACTAATAACTCTAACCTCATACATTAATTGGTAGGCGGAGTCTGTTGCTAAGGAGCGAGTTGGTGTTGTCAAGGGAAAGAAGGAAGGTGAGATATTGGAAAGAGCTGCTGAACAAATCATGAGCTGTTTTCGTGTCTGTGTCTCTGACAGGTAACAATTATTAATTAATTAATTAATTTATTTGTTTATTTATTATTTATTTGTTTATTAATAGTCGTACTTCACTTGATAATACTAAGAGATGGGGTACTCTTGGAATCGTTAATCAATTATTTAAAATTTATTTTAAGGTCAGTCCTCACGTTGTTACTATTTTTAGACTCCACTGTTACTATTAATAGCTCAATAAGCTCCCATTGTGTAAGCCTCTAATAAGAGCAATAGATAGTTCTGATATCAGAGATGAGTTCAGTATCAGTCACAGGGTAACATACAAGTAAGTGGATAAGAGAGAAGTTAAAGTCTTACCGTAGGGTGCTCTTTTTTCAAGGGCTATATATTACGTGAATTTAATTAATTTTTCCTGAAAATGCGAATATTTTGACCTCGGATAATAGATTATAATTACGAGGGGGCGTGTCGAAAAATTGTTCATGTTACATGTGGGCACTTTTAAAGTAAAGATGGAGTTTTAGGACTCATTTTAAAACTATTTTCAGATGGTGGACTTGATGTTTTTTTTTAAACTCTGCTGGTCCTTTGTCAAATCATTTAGCTCAGAGACCAATTGTATTTATTAGCTAATAAGGATGACAGGAAGTCATGATGTGTAAAATTTACTTAAAGGGAACTCGAAATTGATAGCCTTCGAAAAAAGAGAGCCCTACAGTTTTATTAATTTATGTATTATTTTTTAGATATTTTGTTGGGAGGAAGGCAATGTTTGATAGTGAATATAGAGCAGGTA